GAAACATGAATAACTAACTCCTTTTTGTTTTAGTATAAAAGTAGAAGGTATCACAGTGGGAAGAAAGTGGCCAGGAAGATTGTGAAAAATACAGTCAATCCAGTCATTAGTTTGGTACATTTTGTTCAAATTACCCCCTCTGTTTATTTTTCATACAGTCCCCACAGCATGGAAGCAGGCCATTCAGCCCATCGAGTCCATACTGATCCTCCAAAGACCATCACACCAAGACCCACACCCCCCTTCCCCTATCCCTGTAACCCTGCATTTCATAATCCACCGAGCCTACACATCCCTGGACAATACGGGCAATTTAGCATGGCCAATCCACCTAAACTGCACAACTTTGGACTGTGGGAGGAAATCTGAGCATTTGGAGGAAACCCACACAGACACAGGGAGAATGTGCAAATGTCACACAGACTGTTGCCCGAGGGTGGAATCGAACCCACGTCCCTGGTGCTGAGGCAGCAGTGCTAACCACTGTGCCACCCCAAATTATATGTTATGTAAAGTATAAGAATTATATTACGAGTTATTTATTGGAATCAAAACACTTAGGGATACTCTGCCTCAATAAGCCAAACTCTGGTCCTCCAAACAGTAATGTCCCAGAGCAGATTCCTTGAAAGGAAATCCAGGCTACGAGGGGGGAGAAATTTTTTTGCACTGATCTGGACAGTGAGCTACACACAGAGGTGATGCGAGGAAGTGATGCGGGAATGAAACTACATGAAGCTGCAGAATTTGATTAATATTTATCTGTATGACTTAAAAGTAGCATAATTTGGACATTAAGTGACCTTTGTAACCTTAGCTTGCAGCCAGTACGTAACTAATAGGGTGAGTCTTGATCTGTGAGAATTCTATTACTTAGGAATGTTATAGATGAAGAGCTAAGGCCAGATGGCAGGGACTCAACCCAAGATCCATTATGTCCTTGGATAAGTGGGCAGGTGGCTCAAATAGTTTATTAGGGGGGTCATTGGCCTGAGATATTAACACTCTTGCTCTTCCCTGCACGCCCCCCACACCCCCTCCACACAGTTTATTCAGCTCTTTTTGTTCATATTTGAGATATCCAGCATCCACTTTTGGAGCAATTAAGTGGTCATATTATAAGAGAGGTTTGTGATGGTGTAGAGAAGGAAGATCCAAGTTGAAGAAATTGCAGAAATCTACAAGATGAACCTAGACCAGAATTTTGAGAGTTCTGTTGTCCACAACTCCTCGGGTCATCGTCACTACTTGCCTTCCCACCTATGTCATCCGTAAACTTGCATCTGTTCACTTCCATCATCCAAGGCATTAGTATATTTTCTTAAAATCTGCCCCCTAATTTTAGTCTCCCACACAAGAAACATTTTCCTGATATCCACCCTTTCCTGGAACACTCAATCTTTAATTCTGAGCTGTGAAGCCTACAATTATAGTTGCAAAAGAGGAAGTACATTTTCTTAAAATCAAGAAGATGCTGTACACGGTCATTACTCCCACAGCAACATTCCACTGAACTGATAGCATTGTTAGCTTTGTCAGTGTGGGTTCATTCAGACAGCTCAAGCTGGAACATTGGTATTTACATTGTAACCGAAGCAGTTGTACATGGCCAGCAGTTCGCTGTATATTTCCTGGTTCCCAAAATGATTTAGCAGTGCAACATTTGTTTACTCGTCAGCAAAAAGAATGTCTGGTCTAAATTCCACAATTATATCTAGTCCGAATATCAAAAAAATCTAATCTATTGAAAATAGTGATTAAATAGGATATAAATATTTAAATATTGAATTTATATACACAGAGACTATATCTATCACAACATCCTACACTTTTAGTCACACCTTTACTGTAGTAACATGCCCTCGAAGCCCTATACAGAAGCAATTATCACACAAATTTTGACATTGAACCACACAATGAGATCTTAGGTCAGATGACCAAAAACTTGGACAAAAGGTTTTAAGGAGTGTCTCAAAAAGAGAAAAGGCTTAGGGAAGGAATTCCAGAGTTTATTGCCCAAGCAGACCACCGATGGTGGTGAAATTTGAGGAATGCAGCAATCTTGGAGGGTCTTGGGCTGGAGGAGATTCCAGAGATAGGGTGCAGGTGAGGCCAGAGGGATTTGAAAACAAGGATGAGAACTTTTGAAAAAACACTGTTGCCAGGCCAGATTTGGAGCTAATGTAGCATACACTTGTTAGGTGAACGTGATTAATTGTTGACAGTAGGTAGCTAAGTGAGTTGGGTTGTCTTGTGGCTAACACTTAAAACACATTATAGATGAATGTATAAACTATTGCATAATACTGATTGTTTAAACAACTCACATTATAAAGCCAGAAACTCCACGGAATCATAAATGTGCAGCTCTGGCAAAACTGGAACAACTACATTTTTTTTTAAATTCAGAGAAATGTCAAAACAGTTTTTCACAACAAATGTTTTACATATTTAAAACAAACTCATCCGCCTCCACAAATTGTCTCCTGAAGGAGCCAGCTCTTGCCTAAGGTCACAATTCCACTAGAAACCCCTGCTCACTCAGCCATTGTTCATTTTGATTGTGCACAATGAATGTTGGAAGACAGCTCACTCACAGATAATGTTGAGGGAGGCCATAAAATAGAAGGGAGAACAGTTTATTCCTAACAAAATCAAGTTTAAGTTCAGGCAAACCAGTCATCCTAGTCAAAGTGTGGTTAGTACTTTGAGCTTCCAAGCCAGGAGTTTTCGTATGGAAGTCTTCAAGTTGTTAGAACTGAAACATTTGGGCCATCAGAACTGAGAAAGGCTCATGTCAGCCGACTCCAATGAATCTCAGCAGCGCAAGGAAAATTAACTGAGAAGACTCAGTTAAGTAACAATTTAAGAGTTGTGGCAGGTATAATACTCAATTCCAGATAAATATCCAAAAGAATTTGTTGGGAAACAAGTTAAAACTTTGTTTAGCTATTTGTGTCAACCTCTAACTGTCTTATACACAGATCGGTTTTGTTTTTGGGGTTGGCGTGTGGCGGGGGTGGGGGGAGATGGTGGTGAAATAAACTTGTGTTCTATTAAATAACATCTGTAGCCTCATATCAAAAAAAGTTTCATTGTTCAACCACCACATTAACCAACTTCAAAAGTTACACACATGACCTATCAAGTTAGGTTACATTCTGGGATCCAACTTGTTCAGTATTACTATAAGCTGGGATCATATCATCCAGAGCTCCATTCCACTATTGTGACATTTCACCCGTCATTGGAGATGTCTGCCTGACTAGGCAGACAGTTTCTGGGAATGTTCTTGGGAGAAGATGCTTACTGTCATAGAGAAATTGAAGCTAGAACAGCAATGCTAAAGAATGCATTCTCTCAATAGGATGCTAGGAGCAGGAGTAGGTTATTTGGCCTCTCATGCCTGCTCCATCATCCCCATACAATATTATTATTTCATGGAACGTGGACATCACTGGCAAGACCAAATACCTTTGAACTGGGTGGCTGGCTAGGCTATTTCAGAGACAGTCACATTTCTGTGGGTCTAAAACCGAACAGAGTCAGGAAGGCAGACTTCCTTGCTTAAAAGGGCATTGGTGAACTGGATTGGTTTTTACAATTTTCTAAAAAAAAACATTCATCGCAATGGAGACTAACTTTCAATGTACTAATTCAAATTCCAATAATTACCATCATGGGATTTATAACCAGTGTCGCCAGGACATTAGCCTGGGCGTCTGGATTACTGGTCAGTGACATTACCATAATGCCACCATCTCCCCCATACCCCATGATATCTTTAATACCTAGAAGTCTATTGATCTCAGTCTTGTAGTCAAAAGCCCTCACAGCCCTCTGGAGCAGTGAATTCCAAAGCTACACCAACCTCCGATGAAAGAAATTCTTCCGCAGCTCTGTTCTAAGTAGCCTATCCCTTAGTCTGAGACTGTGTCCCCTGGTTTTAGCCAGGGGCTGCTCAGGATAAAAATGAGTGGAGAATAAGAAAAGATCAAATAAATTCAAAAATCATCATGGCTGTAACTTGGGGTGTGTTATATAGGGCTGAACTGGGGACTCCAAGGAAAGCTGACATTCCAAGACATGAAGGTTATGAAACAAGGTTCTGGAGAAGGATGCAGTGGGGTAGTTGGAGGGAAGACAACAGCAATTACTATCTTCTCAGACTGATGGAGTGGGGGTGGAAATGGTGTTTTCATCAAACCAAACTTACTCTTATAACCAGGCAGTGGCTTCACAGACTGCACATTGAGGGGAATCTGTGGAGGTTTATACAGAGCACCAGCAAATTGTGACAACGCAAATTCAGAAATTTAATAACTATTCATGGACTGAAAGAATCAGCAATAACTCTTTCTGGAATAAACTGTTTTCTGAGATAAAAAGGAAAAAGGACAAACCATTATAAAAGGAATTAAAAAGCAATATGCCAATTAGCCATCTCTGGGAAAAAGGTGTTGAAGCTACATAAACAAACTGTTTTAACATCTGCTTGATAACTCATTGCCTTGTGACAAATGGGCAATTAAATATTGCCTACGGAAGAATTTAAGAAGTCAATGGCAGGACAGGCTGTGTTTGAATCAAACTGATAACACAATGTAACAAGGAACAAAGAAGCTACTCCTGATAAGAAAGGAAGCTACAGACTTAAGAAATGTCATAAATAATGTCACACCATGAGCTTAAAAAAAAGACAGAAAATCCTGTAAGAATTCAACATCAGGATTGTTCAATAGTAGAACTCTGGAGAACAATGCTGTACAAGGATCAAACCCTGGAGGTCCAGAGACAGATGTGGTTGGTTGGAATCGTAGCTAAATTCCACAATTAATTGGGTAATAGCCAAATTCAGTTAAGAGGCTTAAATTGCTTACTTGAGGTGACTTATTTCTTAAGATTTCTTGATAAGTAGACAAATTAAAAAGTAGCTTGTGGTAATTTACACACAAAATCGTGCTCAAATCAGGTGTAAGCACACTGCCCTGGCCACATACCCATTAGAAATGAAAGAAGCCGCTGGTACAATACCTCAACATCAGGAGTAGAATTGGCCTGGAGCGGCTGTGCAGACTCCTGGATCTTATGTACCTGCTGCATCAGCAAATCACAATAAAGTCGAAGCTCAGACATTTTGGATTTCAAGGTGTCCTCAGTTTCACTGATTTCTGTAAATTTAAAACATTTTTTTAAAATTTTGAATTAAAAATGACAAATAAATACCTCTTTTAAAAAAAAAACAGGATTAATCACAACCTCCTTTGGGAGACTTAATGGAATGGGTCTTTCACAAAGCTGGCATGGACTATTTGGGCCAAAGGGCCTTCTTCTGTGCTATAAGATTCTGCAATTTCGTGTCTTACAGCACAAAAACAGATCCTTCGGTCCAGGTCATCCATTCCGACCAAATTTCCCAAGTAAACTAGTCCCATTTGTTCAGTTTATTTCTGTGTTGATTGGAGTTGTTTTTTTTTTCAAAAAAAAAGACATTCATAAAGGGTGCAATGCCACCACATCGGCAAGGAAAGACTGCAAGGTGATAAAACAAATGGCATGCACAGCCAAACCCCTCACAAGGCAGTCCTAATGCCAGCCTCCTGGAAAGGCCCGCTAAGAGACACGTTCACAGCATTGAAAGACTTGTTCCGCTCCACTTCCCAAAGCTAACAAAAACAAACCAACAAACAAAAAAAAAAATTCCAACGGGTCTGCGGCATGTGCAGTCAGAAATGGATTGCTTGCAAATATCTGATAAAAATCTCCACCTCTGTTCAGTCCAATTAGACTTGCAATTTCAAAAGACTGTCGAACAGCCATATCCTGCTGTTCTGGCTTGGGTTTGTACATTTCTGCATCCAACATCATTTTGGCTTCAACCAGGACATATGTTTTCCCACACTTGATACCTCAGAGGTTTTCTCAAACTAGTTCCTGAAGTTTCAAACTCCTTGCTGCTTCAGAGTAATGCAGGTTTTAGACCAGATATGATCTCTGGTGTGTGTTGGTTGTCTCAGCTACACGTCATTTGTGAATTTCCACATTCCCAACCACTTGAGTGGGGGAGAAAAAAGTTTCACCTTTAATCAGATTTAATACCAATCTATTATTATGGGGAGTTGATGAATCCTGAACATTTGCTCCTTCCTTAAATTAGCTTCGCCAAGCATTCCTCTTAACAGGAAGGAGCAAGTTCAGTACGAAGAATCAAACAGGTTGGTACCAGTCAATGTATTTATAAACCCAATACAAAGTGGCAAGAGGGGCTTCTCCAATTATTTTCTGCTGGAATGCATCTCAAAACAGCACGTAGACCAGTAACATTATATGACAATAATCACAGCACCCGGGTAAACAAAACCACCCAAGGAGGACAGAATAAAGGCACTACCTCGTTCCTTCTTGCTCCTGCTGTCTGCCAAGCAGGCTTTGGCACTGCCAAGAGCGACCAACCATTTCTGTCGCTCTGCGGCATTTACTGCTTTGAGGTAAAAATATTGTTCTCCAGGAATAATCAAGTCCATCCGGGTGAAGTCTGCTGTGTGCACTTGCAAAAAAAATGTTGTATTTTAGTGGGCAGAAGACAACAGTGAACCTGTTTGCCACCTGTATCTTTCAGAAAAACCCCCAATGGCCATAACGTACTAACAGCAATAAAAGACAGACAAGGCAGCAACAAGGAAATCCAACAAGTGCCAGACGGAAACAGACAAAATCAGCAAAAACAAACTGGAACAGAATATAGGAAGAGGAATAGGCCATTCAGCCCCTCAAAGCTGTTCTAGCATTTGAACAAAAGACTTGAATTTATACAGTGCTTGTCACAACCCCTGGACATTTCAAAGCCCTTTACAGCCAATTACATACATTAAGTGCAGTCACTGTTGTAACATAGGGAATGTGGCAGCCAATTTGCCCACAGCAAGCTCCTGCAAATGCCACATGATAATAACTGGATAATCTTTTTTTGTGATGTTAATTGAGGGACAAATATTGGCCAGGACACTGGGGCACTTTTCTTCCTCAAAATAATGCCAATAGGATCTTTTACACACACTCAAACAGGTAGATGGGGCCTCAGTTTAATGTCTCATCTGAAAATGAAAGCACCTCAAACAGTGCAGCACTCCTTCAGAACTGCATCACAGTGCCAGCCTGGGCTTTTGTGCTCAAGCCCTGGAGTAGGATTTGAACCAGAAACATTGTGATTCAAAAGACAAGAGTGCTGCCAATCAGCTACACCTAACGCTCAACAAAATCCTCACTGATCTGATTCCCAACCTTTGCTCCATATCCTTTAATGCTCTCGGTGAGCAAGAAAAAGCAATCGGTCTTAGATATAAACATGTACTGGAGCTCGCATTTGCTACCACTGTGTGGGCCAATTTGACACTGATCATCATTTGTGTTTCCCAATGCCTCTCCTGAACAGCCTGACTCTGATTTTTAAAGTTAGAGCCTCGTCTTAGACTCTCCGCTCTGGAGTCTCAACAGCTTTGGTCCAGAAGACAATTCTGTCTCAGTTTATGCAAAGGAAATAATTGCAATGGTGAAATAAGAGCAGAGATTGCATTTTGAGTCACCTTCACGCAGTAGTGTGCCCTATGTATTCTATTTTTAAATACTTATTCCATTCTATTCACAGAATCACCTGGGGAAGCAGGTCTCCATCCCTCCCTAATTTACATTGTAAGCAGATTACATTGTCACAGTGGATGGACCTGAACTGCACCCTCCCAACGATATCGGTAAGGAAACATCAAACTTTGGCAGAACTCCAAAAAAAGGGTTCCATTTGAAATGATACAAATTCCAAGCCTAATTTGGGAACAACACCAAGGTTGGTCCTTTATTCCCCACACAAGCCCAGGTCAGGCCATACTGAGCTGTGGGAATGCTTTCCAAAAGGGTTCGGTGTGTACATTTGGCAAATTCCAAGCTCAAGAGCACCTTTCACTTTTCTACCTTTTATCTCACACACGGCCATTTTGATGCTCCCTTTACTTCCTTTGCCAACATCTTCCTGCGAGTCGTAGTATGACAACACAGTACCATCCAGCACAAAGTACCGCGGCTGCCAGCCTGTCAAAATGAAAGGGATTTGAAGAATCACAAGAAGATTATGGTTGCAACAAATACGGGGAGAATACAAAAACTCAGATTAGGGTGGGGTGGGGGGCTACTGGTTGTGTGAGGACAACAGTTAATGTCTGGGGCATTTTAGCAACAGGTGGAAGCCATTTAGTCCCTCCAGCCTGTCCTGCCTCCATTCAATAAGGTTGTGACTGACCTGCAACTCGACTCCATTTACCCACTTTGCTTTCTAGCCCTGAACGTGCAAAACAAAGACCAGAAATTGCTTGAAAGCTCACCAGGTCTGGCAGCATCTGTGGAAGTTTGAGTTCTGAGGAAGGGTCACTGGACCAATTTGTCTCCACAAATGCTGCCAGACCTGCTGAGTTTTTCCAGCAAATTCTGTTTTTGTTTCTGATTTACAGCATCAGCAGTTCTTTCCGCGTTTTTAAGAAACAGACCAGTTTCAGCTGTAAAATTGTCAATTGATTTAACATCAGCTGCTGTCAACTTTGTAAATTTGAGGCCATCCAAAACGTG